ATGCTTGATTATACTCCAAAATTGTAACCAAAGACAACAAGGAAAGTTTACCAGGTAGTCTGTTATTATCAAACACCAAGTTACAAGTAATTGTGAATAATGTTTATCACAGACTTTATTTTATGAAAGATTGTGTTGTTTATATAATCACGTACATATATAACTGATATTCCTCAATATACTTGTCTGTTGACAACTCAGAAGGTCTAACTTAATTTCATTTTATTGGCAAACTTCCTTTGTGCATACTTAATGTTAGTTTCAATGTCACTCATTGATTAAAGATTGCAGTTGAAGCTTATTAAAATGCATCAACAATGTCAGTTTGAAGAAAAATATATTTCATCTTTTCAATACACTGGGATCGAATTTGGTAATCTCTGGTAAATTCGGTATCGGTGTTTTAATTTAACATGTTCTTACAAAATCAAGATAGTTGACTTCCTTTCAGATTTTTACGCCAGAACAAGTTAATAACTTTACCTGAAGGTCTGTTTTCTAGCAACACAAAACTTGAAAGATTGTAAGTATGATTTATGCTCATCTCAGACTTTTTCTTACATATTATATTATTTAAATTGTATATCTAATCACGTACACATACATCTGATGTTCTTACATATACTTGTGTGCCGAGAACTCAGTAGTTTTGTCATCATTCTATTTTAATTTCGTTCAATAATGTTGATTTTTAAAGCAATGAAAATCACATCAACAATATCAGGTTGATGACACATATATTTGATCCATTGAATAACTGAAGATCAACCTTTGAAATGTTTGGTAATTTGAATATAAGTAGGTTAATTAAGTAACTATGTTCATGATCATCAATTTTCTATTAGATATTTACTGAATAACAAGTTAGAAAACTTCCCAGAAGATCAGTTAACATTGATCATGTTGAACACAAATCTTCAATATGTCAGACTTAAACTTATTAAAAGGTTATATTGGATTATTGTTGATCATGTTCCTATCCTATATAAAGGGGTTTTAATATACTTGTGTGCCAATAGCTCAGTCGGTTTATCACAATTATAAACTTATTGAATACAAGGAGATCAAATTGGTATTCTTTGGTAAGTTTAGTATCAGTGTTTTTATTTTACATGTTCCTACACAATCAAGATATTTGATTTTCTTCCAGATTTTTAAGGCATAACAAGTTAGTAACTTTACCAGAAGATTTGTTTCTGTTCAACATGAATCCTATAGAATTTTAAGTGTAATTGATATTTATATCAGACCTAAACTTATTTAATAGTGTGTGGAATTCTTAACCTCGTTCATATGTTTTCTAACAACACAAAAATTAAAACATTGTATGTATGAATTGTGATCATCTTAGGACTTAATTGTGTTTTAGATTATATTGTATAATTAATCACGTACACATATCTGATTTTCTTCAAAATACTTGTGTGTTGAGAACTCAGCAGTTTTGCCATCATTCTTTTTTAATTCAGTTCATTTTTTTATGTTTGAATTTTAAAGCAATACCAATTTTATCTATCATATCAGGTGGACGACAAATATATTTGATCGATTGAATAACTTACGATCAACCTTTAAAATGTATGGTAATGAAAATATAAGAAGATAAATTAAGGATTTTCATGATCATTGATTTTCTATTAATTATTTAATGAGTAACAAGTTAGAAATTTTACCAGAAGGTCATTTAACATTGAACATGTTGAACACCAATCTTCAATATGTCAGACTTCCTTTTTATATGCCAATTTAACTTTTAATGTTATTCAATATTTCAAAATTAATCTTAGAATTCCTTTTTATCTATCATATCAGGTGGAAGACAAATATATTTGATCGGTTGAATAACTCAAGATCAAGCTTTAAAATGTTTGGTAGTTTGAATATATGAAGATAAATTGGGTGTGTTAATGATCCTTGATTTTCTATTAGTTATTTAATGAATAACAAGTTAGAAAGTTTACCAGAAGGTCAGTTAACATTGAACATGTTGAACACCAATCTTCAATATGCCAGACTTACACTTATTATTAAAATATTATATTGGATTATTTTTTATGATGTTCCTATATGAAGGGGTTTAAATATACTTGTTAGTCAATAGCTCAGCAGGTTTATCACCAGTATACACTCATTGAATACAAGGAGATCAAATTGGTAATCTTTGGTAAGTTCAGTATCAGTGCTTTAATGTAACCTGTTCTTACATAATCATGATACTTGATTTTCTTCCAGAGATTTAACTAATAACATGTTAGAAAGTTTACCAAAAGATCTGTTTTTGTCGAACACGAATCTTAATACATTGTAAGTATGAACTATGCTCATCTCGGACTTTATTTTATTTTAGATGATATTATATAGATAATCATGTACACACATATCTGATGTTTTTCAATATACTTATGTGCCGAGAACTGAGCAGTTTTGTCATCACTCTATTTTAATTATGTCAATAGTAAATGTTGAATTTTTAAGCAATTAAAATTATATCAACAACATCAGGTGGATGACAAATATATTTGATCCATTCAATAACAGAATATAGACCTTTGAAATGTTTGGCAATTTGAATATGAGTAGGTTTATTAAGTATGTTCATGATCATTGATTTTCTGTTAGATATTTACTGAATAACAATTTAGAAAGTTGACCAGAAGGTCTATTAATATTAATGCAAATCTTCAATATTTGTACGTGCAATTGATATTTATATCAGACTTAAAATTATTTATTATTGTGTAGATTTATCAGCCTTGTTCATATGTACCCTGTGGTTTTGATATACATGTGTGCCAATAGCTCAACAGGTTTATCTCCATTCTATTGTCTATGAAAACTTCCTTTTTATATTCTTATTTAACTTTTAATGTTATTCAATATTTCAAAATTAATCTTACAACTCCTTTTGGTAATTTGAATATAATTGTCTTGATTGAATATGTTCTTACATAATTAAGATGCTTGATTTTAATAAAAAAAATTGTAGCCAAAGACAACAAGGAAAGTTTACCAGTTAGAATGTTATCATCAAACACCAAGTTAAAAAAATTGTAATTGTGAAAAATGTTTATCACAGACTTTATTTTATTAAAGATTGTGTTGTTTATATAACCACGTACATATATAACTGATGTTCCTCAATATACTCGTGTGACGACAACTCAGAAGGTCTATCTTCATTTCATTTTGTTCGCAAACTTCCTTAAAATTGTGCATACTTAATCTTATTTTAAATGTCACTCATTATTTAAAGGTTGCAGTTAAAGATTATAAAAATGCATCAACAATGTCAGTTTCAAGAAAAATATATCTTTTGAATACAAGAAGATCGAATTTGGTAACCTCTGATAAGTTCGGTATTGGTGTTTTAATTTAACATGTTCTTACAAAATGAAGATATTTGAATTCCTTCCAGGTATTTACACGAAAAAAAGTTAGTAACTTTACCAGAAGGTCTGATTTCTAACAACACAAATCTTAGATATTTGTTAGTGTAATTTATATTCATATCAGACTTAAACTTATCTATTATTGATGGAATTTTTAACCTCATTCATATGTACCATGTGTTCTTCAATATTCTTCTGTGCCAATAGCTCAGAAGGTTTATCAACATTTTATTATCTAAAACATATCTTTCTTACATGCTTATTTAACTTTTAATTGTATTCAATATTTCAAAATTTCTCCTAGAGTTCCTTTTGGTAATTTGAGTATTATTGTCTTGATTAAACAAGTTGTTACATAGAAGTAAGTTTACCAGTTGGTCTGTTATCATCGAACACAAAGCTTCGACTTTTGTAAGTGTGATGACTATCACCTTAGCCTTTATTTTATCATATTCCTATAACGATCATATATAGTTGATGTTCGTCTATACATTTAAGGGATACCGGGTAGTCTAACTTATTTATCTACTGTATCACAAGCCTGTCAACACTGAAGTGGTGATTTCAAACCACGAATGTGACATTTGACTTCAATATTAATTATATCTATAATGTACATACTCATTTTACTCCTAATCTCATTCTATATTTCAAGGTAAGCCTTTGAAATCTTGCGTAATTCAAGAACCATTGTCTTGATTGAATATATTCTTACTCAATCATGATACATGATTGTCTTCCAAGTCAGGAAAATGGCAGTTGTTTTTAATTATTCCATTGTTTGATAGCGTTTGATTTTGTCTGATTTTATGGACTTCCCCTTTTTGAACTTGCCTTGTAGTTCAGTATTTTTGTTATATTTTTTTGATAATTTGAGTATTAGTGTCTTAAGTTTATCTACGACTTATCATGTTTACCTTATCATATGGTAGATTGTATTGCATATCTAATCATGCACATATATAACTGATGTTCTTCAAAATATTCTTGTGTGCAAACAACGCAGCAGGTTTACCATCATTTTATTGTTTACGCACAATTCATTTGTACTTCTTTATTTAACTTTTAATGTCGTTCAATAATCAAATATTGCTGTTCAAGCAATATCAGTTCTAAGAAAAATATATTTATCTTTTGAATACACGGAGAACGGCATTTGGAATTTTTGGTAATTTTAGCAACAGTGTTCTAATTCAGATTTTCATTCATGACTATTGATTTTCTTATAGAACTTTTCAGGGTAACTTCTTAATAAATTTACCAGAAGGTCTGTTCTCGAAAACAGAATTATAATTATAATAATTTGTGTTGTAAGCATTTGTTTTGTATGACAGTTGTTCCTCTTACGTAATAAAATGCCTTGCTTAATGTTTAATTAAAAGCTCTACCTATTTTGATTTGATGATTTATATCTCTTTTTGCCAATATCTGTAGAAACAACATGATACTTTGTCGTTGTTTCTATAATTCCATGTTGTTGCCGTATCTTATATATATTTCTTCCCCTTGAGATTTCAAATTGTTTCGCAATAGTGTGAAAAAGCAGAAGTCACATGGATATGTACATGACATAGAAATTAACCTTACATTAATTTAATATTTAAGGAATATGAACAGAAACCAATTCATATGCTGCCGCATGATTGATTTTAAAGAATGGGCATCAAATCAAACAAACCTTGTTTACATAGGAACATGTACTGGTTTGAATACCACCATAGATATTCGCAATTTTAACATGACAGGCTGCATAATTCCAGGTAAGCAGTTAAAAAGATTTCTTAATAAATGATGAAATTTACTCATATTTTGTGTATATGCAATCTATTCATTTCCAATTTGACCACTGTAGCAACTATCTGAAATAAAAATAAATATCTTAGACATGCTTCCATTTCTTTTTTCAGATTTGTTGTGAAAGTGCCTGAACATTTAACATTCTCGATACATACCTCATGTCCATTTTTTATTCCATATCTGTATGTCATTAATTTTGTAAATTTGGTTGCTAAATTGGTTTTAGTTTTTTTTATTAAGTCACACTTGTGATGGTGAGAAAAACAGTAAGACACTAAGTTGGAGTTTTGACTAGAGCCTCATTCTCTTTACCGACAATTTTAATTGACCAAATTAAGTAACTTTTGACTTACATTTTTTAGCAGACACAATCTTAAACAACTGAATAACACAGTTTGTTTTTTTCTATATAGTATACCTTACATGTTTGATATATAGGAAAGATAGGATTAGTTTTTTTATACCTATAAGGTTACATTTACACTACATGAAATTAATGAAAATTGGATAACTACTGCTGATCATAATAAAAAGGTCAATTCCGGTAAATTCAAGTTATCCAAATTGGCGCTAACTGTCGTTTTTGATTGATACCATGCAAAAACCTATTTCCAACTTACAAAACTTCATGTGGTGTGACTGCAGTCTGACTTTGATTGCTAGAAAAGAAAAGGTTAAACAAGGGAAGAAGCTTAAGACCAATATCTTTCACTAATGAACTTAATAATTCCTAAATAAGTTAAAGGTAAAATTATGAGTATGATGCATGCATGAGTATTCAAATGAGGTCAAATGATTGTTTTGTGGGAATGACTTATGCAAAATTGAGGTTTTCAATTTATGATGACAAAATTAAACCAAACTGACTGCTAATAGTGAAAAATTGTTCAATATTTTTGCAACAGTATTAGATTGATAACTTCTTGTTTTCATCTTTTTTAAATGAAGGATGGAGCCTTTGGTTCAACTCCTCATGTTCTGTTACTTGTGGAGATGGTGTGATAGTGAAAACCAGAACATGTGACAATCCCCCACCGTCTGACGATGGACTGAAATGTGTTGGTTCCAGAACTGAAACATCACTTTGCAACTTAGGAAAATGTCCAGGTAAATTCTTTAAATACATCAGATTAAAATCAACATTACCTTATAATTTAATTGTTAACCAGAGCGGAACACTTCTTTTTAGAACTTATTAAAACCTGTTAAATCTATCATTATATTCTGTGAAGTCAGAATAAAAAAAAAACATTGAAGATGTAAGGCTTTTTCGCCATACGCGTGTTTCTTCTACGTGAGACTCATCTGTAGCGTTTGAATGAAATCAGTTTTGAGCTAAGATCAAATACATGGTAAAGGGAATAAAAAAGTAAAGTACCAAATATGGTTAAGGCAATCAAAAAACCTTAGCGTTTCCAAAAATTTCAACATTTCAAAAACAATAAACAGTCAGGGCAATAATATTTCTTTAAATCACTTATTCAAGTAACATTTCCTCCAGAAATGCTGCAAGTAAGAGTAGTCTTCTTTATCAATCACCTATTTAAATAGTACATTTAAATCACTAGGCTAAGTAGCTTTACATATATAATATTCATGATCCTGGAATTAATTATGATGTTAAATTTATCAAAAACAACATCTGTGTTGATAGGATGATCTGTCATGTCAGATGATGACCCTGTACTGAAAATGGGATAATGACATGAAAATCACTCATATCATACTTGTGTTTTCTTAACTGTCCCCTCCCCCACTCACACACACACACACACACACACACACACACACGGTATTTTCAACATCCCCGAACAGTTAATTTTTTATAGCGAACAGTAAAATTTTATTACATTATCTAAAAACCGAAACCTTGAATTTTACAGAAAAATACGCCCACTCATGGGAAAAATCTGTTTGGAAAGTATAAGATCATTATGTAAAGCCTTCATTGTAGCATTATTTTCAACAATTTTAGAATTTACAGAAGAATGATTGCATAGAAGGCGTAAACAATGCTACCTAACAGTATTTTTTATTATTTTTTTCAAATAATTAGATATAATCTCAACCTGTGTGTTTTTGGCAAAACTACAAAATCACAGAATTTCTAATTTGCTACTCAAATGAGTGATTTAAAAATCACTTATTTCATTAAATCCCCTGAATCATGAATTGACAGAAAATGAACAAATTATTTATATATCATGTCAACATGAAAGTGCTGATAACTGGCGTGGTGATACCCTTGGGTCATCGACCCGGTGGTAAACATCTTTATTTCAAAGCTGAAGCTGATTTTTGCTAACATGATAAATTGATACTGTTATTCTGAAAAGTATTTATAAATCTATTTTCCCAACCAAAAAACAAAAATAAACCAAAAAAGCTACAGGGTAACATACACTCAGTCTTCCTTACTAGACAGGTATCCATACAACATTTCACGCTTGCATTTATCATTCTAAGTTTGTTTAAGTTGTTAATAGGTTTAATAGAATAATTCAAGGATATGCCATTACTATCCAAATAAGAAAAAAGTTTAATGTGACATTAGGTGTTTGTTGTTATTCTGTGGTTTGCATGTTGAAATGTACTATTTAATTATTTATTTACGTATTTCTCTGTTCTGAAAGTTCTTGCATTTATTCGTACTGTGTTTCTGTAACGTAATGTTGTCATTTTAGCGGTATGTTTAACATTGCAATATATGCGGGAGGTTTGGCTAGCCATAAAACCAGGTTCAACCCACAATTTTTTCTTAAAATGTCCTGTACCAAGTCAGGAATATGGCAGTTGTTATCACATAGTCCGTTTCTATGTATGTTGGCGTTTGTTTTTGTAGCAGTCCAGTGTTTCTGTTGTTCCGTTTTGTTTCCTCTTATAGTTGATGTGTTTCCCTCAGTTTTGGTTTGTGACTCGGATTTGTTTCAGTTATTATATAGATTGATGACTATTGAACAGCGGTATACTACTATTGCCTTTATTTATAAAACAATTACTGATAGTCAAGATGGGTCTATAAAAGTCTCACTGTATTTAGCGAAATCTTGAGTCAATGAGATTGTATATTGTTCATATCTTTTTACAGAATCATGCCGTCACTCAAACAAAGGATCCAACAACAAATCAGTAGACAATTTGGACAATAAATCAGGTAGATTTCCCCCATAATCTTTTCATTCATTATGACAACCAGAAGTTATGGTCGACATTAATACAATGTTAGCACTGGCTACGGTTACCCGCAAAAAGTAACAATAAGAAATAATTATTGTTACTATTGATACTGCTTGCCGAGATATTTTACCAAGTGGGACCCGATTTCATACGGAAATTGCAGGTAACAATAATATAATGTGTTATTGTTACCTGCAGTAATTATTACCCGCAAAATATATTCAGGTAGGCACTGGTCTAAAAAAATGTTTGATTTGCGAGCAATCTAGGAAATAAATTTAAACAATTAAATTATGATGTAACATTAAAAATGATTAAACTTCCAGATAAATTGACCAATATGACGTTTATTATTGCCATAGGGTGGTCGATTAAAGCAGCTCACTATTCGTTACTCGAATGAGCAAACTGTCCAATTTGTGGTCAGTGAAAAGTTTATATCTTTTAAAAATTTTAATTATAAACTTCAACAATTCCAAGATGCAAATTCTGTTCAATTATATAGAAGAAGTTGTGATTATAACCCCAGAGGAACAATTTCTTTCATTTGAGAAATTTCCTACGAAATTGCTCGACGAAAACATTAATCTCAATAGAATCATAGAATATTTTTCTAATGAGTCATGGAAAATGCAAAAAAAAAAACAGATATAGCAGAGGAAGAACACAGCAGAGTGGAATTGCTTAGTGTGTGGTATTCATTTCCATATATATGAATCTATTGTTTGCAACAGGTATCAGGGTACCACCTAAGATGTGTTGGCCTCAAAGTGTCAACTAAGGCTATATACTCGATGTGCCAGAAGTGCCACCAAAATAAATAGCTATAATACTTCTTATTATGTATAAATGTATAAATGTTGCTGTGTTCATTAAATAATTTCTATTCAATTTTTTTTTTCAAATATGTTAACCAAAGAATACGGGGCAATGACAGGAAGACGTACAAAGTATCCAGATGCTACACAAAAAAAATATGATTTGCAAATGTAAAATTTTGTGAGTAACTATAACTGCCGGTAACAATAAAAAAATATTTTATTGTTACCTGCAGATTCCGTATGAAATTGGATTCCTCTCCAGAAATAAATTTCAGGAATTAGTCTCAGAAGTAAAAATAATCTTTTTTTATTGTTACTTTTCGCGGGTAACCGTAGCCAGTGCATACAATTTTTGTCTCGCCTGTGATAAAAGTCGCGGAAAGCGAAATATAGGGATTGCATTTCCGGCGACGGCAACGATGGCGTCAACAATTGTTAAGTTTTCTGCCTAAGTTAGTTTGAAAGGAATTACTTGTGATAGATCATTGATATTTAATACAAACTTGCATTACTATCAGTACATATTAGTTTGACGGCCATTTTGAGGTCCTGTCCCTAGGTCATGGTTCTGCGACTTTGAATGAACTAACAATTTTAAATGTTAACTTTTCTACTTAACATAGTTTGATAGGATCTACTTGTGATAGATCAATTATATTTAATATAAGGTTGCATTACTATCAGTACATATCTGTTTGACGACTATTTTGAGGCCCTGGCCCTTAGGTCATGGTTCAGCGACTTTGAATTAATTATGAATTTTCAATGTTAAGTTTTCTGCTGAAGTTAGATTGCTAAGAACTGCTTACAATAGACAATGATATTGTCTATATAGTTACATTACTGTCTGTACATCTAAGTTAGTGATCATTTAAAGGCCCTGCCCACAAGATCATGGTCAAATGACTTTGAAATAATAAGCAATGTTACTGTCCATCAGATTGTCTATTTCTGACTTTTATGCCTACAGGCGAGACATATCTTTTTGTCATCAGTTTATTGTTGTGTCAATGAAGTTAATATTATTTTCCAATTTTGAATTTATTACGACATTGATATATCACCCACCATGTTAATCCACACTCAGTCGAAATATCACACATGTAAGACAGTGCGGCTGGTCATTTATTTATTCTTTTTCTTCCAGGAAAAAAACTGCGTAAATTGAAAGCCATGAACCAAAAAAGAAGGGACAAGTTTGATTGGAAAAAATAAAAACAAAGTGGATCGATTTCATTCTTATATAAAACTGAGGGACAATTCTAACATGGTTTGAATTTTATCATCATCATTGTTGGAAAAGTCATTCTTTGCTTTCGTTTGAAATTTTAACTTTCGATATCTTAGATACAATCTGTGTGGTTTATTTTCTCTCGAGTGCAAACTTACTTAGTCTTACTTGTATGTTGTAATCTTGAATTCAGTTATTAGGTTAGATGAGTTTTATTGGACCACCTATTATAGCATTGCATCTGTTTATTAATAATATGTATGACATTAAATTTGTAAAAGTGTGTGAGAATAAACGTTTTGTTATATCGTTTGAGGGTGTTTTGTGGGATATACATTAGCTACATGTTACATTTTTTTGGTGATATTTTGTGGGAATATTCATTGGTATTTTCAACTTGTATTTGAATAATTGATATATGTGATTTTTTTCTCCATAAATGCGGGTATAAATTTAATAGTACATGTTTCCATATTTTTTTTCCATATAAATATCAAATGATCAAGGCAAATGATTCATAATACCATATACATATAATTCACAACCAGGAGGTAAACTTGAATTCAGTTATTAGGTTAGATGAGTTTTATTGGACCACCTATTATAGCATTGCATCTGTTTATTAATAATATGTATGACATTAAATTTGTAAAAGTGTGTGAGAATAAACGTTTTGTTATATCGTTTGATGATATTTTGTGGGATATACATTAGCTACATGTTACATTTTTTTGGTGATATTTTGTGGGAATATTCATTGGTATTTTCAACTTGTATTTGAATAATTGATATATGTGATTTTTTTCTCAATAAATGCGGGTATAAATTTAATAGTACATGTTTCCATATTTTTTTTGCCATATAAATATCGAATGATCAAGGCAAATGATTCATAATACCAAATACATATAATTCACAACCAGGAGGTATACTTATTTTCAACTTTCAGTAACTCCAAATTACTGATGGGTGTAGTTGATGGTAAAATGAGACCCAAGTGAACCAAAACTATACACTTTATCTGAATAGATCAGAGCTATTCAGTCGTGCATTCAGAAGGGGATTCAAACTCTACGAATAAAATGAGCACATGGGTTTTTAATCCTTTCAAAAAATCCATTGTGCATGCTGTATCCTCTCTTCACGACAAATGTGTTGATGTTACAGCCAACACAGTCATTTACTGTTGTTTTTATATGGTAACATCATTATTTTGAGTGTATAATAGAGGCAAAGGATACCAAAAGGATAGTCGAACACATAAGTCGAAAAACAAAGTGACAATGCCATTGCAAAAAGCAAAAAAAGGATGGATAAGCAGGTAATCATCCACATGTTGCTCTCGTCTAACTAATGTATGCAATATCATCATTCACGAAGGGGAATATTTCATTAAATGAAAAACGTGACCTTCTCTCCTTTAGTATTAACATTAAAAGGACTATAAAAAGCTCAGTCCAAATATTGGGTAAAAAACTTCCAAAAAACCTTTAAAAAAACTGCATATAGCCGGTGTCATAAGGTATTTTGAACCCCCTGAAAAGTGAACCCGGGATAAAATACCATATGGAAAATTGACTCCGGGGTCATTATACCGCATGGTATTTTGACCCCCGGGGTAATTTTTCCCATATGTTATTTTGAACCCCACCTTGAAAAATTGAACCCTCCTGTTTTAGTCAAAAGCATTGCAGATTTTTAAATGTACAATATGTTGGCTATGTTTTTTTTTTAATTGGAGGTGTATAGTAAGGGGTTTAATATACCATGGCAGGGGGGTCGAAATACTATGGTTAAGTAAAATTTTCCAAACATCTTTATAGCCATGTTTAATACATACCAATTACTGATTGGAGTATAATTACTATTAAGAGGGGTTAAATTAGTTATAATATTTGAAATTGGAGGTGTATAGTAGGGGGTTCAATATACTATGGCTGGAGGGTCAAAATACTATGGTTAAGTAAAATTTTCCAAACATCTTTATAGGCATTTTTAATACATACCAATTACTGATTGGAGTATTATTACTATGTAAAGGAGTTAAAATAGCTATAATATTTGAAATTGGAGGTGCATAGTAGGGGGTTCAATATACTATGGCAGGGGGGGTCGAAATACTATGGCTAAGTAAAATTTTTCAAACATCTTTTCCAGCATGTTTAATATATACCAACTACTTATTAGAGTATTATTTTTATGTAAAAGAGTTAGAATAGCTATAATTCTTGAAAATGGAGGTGTATAGGAGTGGGTTCAATATACCATGGCAGGGGGGTCAAAATACCATGACTAAGTAAAATTTTCAAACATCTTTATAAGCATGTTTATTACATACCAACAACTTATTGGAGTATTATAACTATGAAATGGAGTTAAAAAGCTATATTTTTTTAAATTGGAGGTGTATAGGAGGGGGTTCAATATACCACGGCTGAGAGGTAAAAAAACCATGGCTAAGTAAAATTTTATAAACATCTTTATAAGAATGTTTAATACATACCAACTACTTATTGTAGTATTATTACTATGTTAGGGAGTTAGAAAAGCTATATACCTCCATTTGCAAGAATAATAGCTATTCTAACTTTTTTACATATAGTAATAATAAGTAGTTGGTGTGTATTAAACATGCTTATAAAGATGTTTTAAAATGTGTACTTAGTCATGGTATTTTGGCCCCTCTGCCATGGTATATTGAACCCCCTACATACATGTAGTAATAATACTCCAATAAGTACTTGTTATCTATTAAACCTGCTGGAATAGACGTTTCAAAATTTTAACCTATCCATAGTATTTTGACCCCCCTGCCATGGTATATTGAATCCCGTCCTATACACCTTAAATTTCAAAAAAAAAATATCTATTCAAACTATATTACATAGTTATAATGCTGTGACTAGTATTTGGTATATATGAAACATGTTGGAAAAGATTTTTTTAACAATTTTACGTAGCCATGGTATTTTGACCCCCTGCCATGGCAAATTGAACCCTCTTGTCTATACATCTCCAATATCAACAATCAAATCATTTAAACTTCTTTTCAAAGTTTTAATACTCTAATAAATATATGGTATATATAAAACATGTTGAAAAAGATGGTTTGACTATTTTACTGAGCCATGGAAACTTGACCCCCTCCCCCTTGTTTACCATGGAAAATTTAACTTCCTTTATATGTTAGGATTTCAAATAATCAAAGCATTTAAGCTACATAGTCTAGTTATGATGCTTCAATATTATTTTGATTGAAATTATGTTGGTAAAGACTTCAGAGCACTTATACCAAGCCATGTGGTTTTGTTTTTTTTTACCTACCATGGAAAATTGACCTCCCTTTTTTGTATGTCTGATTTTCAATCTACAATAAGCTTTAAAATAACGTATCATGTTCTAATAATTATTTAGAAGGAAAAAAATAACATGGGGGTCAATTTACCATTGGGGGGGGCATCAATTTTCCATACAGAGGGGATTCAATTTACCATAGCGGTATTTTGACCCCGGGGTCAATTTTCAATGGGATTCAAAATACCATATGACACCGGGTCGTCAAGATGTTCAACTAAATTTCTTGCTAAAGTTCTTACTACCATTTATTCAACAATGATGAAAGGCATTCCGAAATTCATTTTTTCACAAAAATATTACGATAAAAATTGATCGGAAGTTACACTGAAATGCTCTGTGACTTACGAGTATTTTTTCTCGTAAGATTTTTTTGTGATATGAGCAGCAGGCTTTCATATAGATCTTAAAATAAATCTTACTCTTACTTATCAAACATAATGAATAGGTCAAAACCGACAGAAAACGAAACTTAAAGTAACTGAAATTAAAAAATAAATTGATTTACACAAAAAACTTTAACCTATTAATCTAATGAAAACAATGCTGATATTTTCCTGGCCAAGTAAAATTATGGCATAAAGTACAAATAGGTTATTGAAATATCATCATTTATTACGAAGAATAATCTATATTAAAGGATAAGTGTTGTATCACCCTTGATTGGGGGGGGGGGGATTATCTCGACCCCCCCCCCCCCTATTTGTTAACAAAGAGAGGTATCAGGGTCTTGTCTTTTACTCTTTTTTAGCATTCAAATGAAATGACACGTAAAATAGTTTCTCCTGACTATATGTAGATATGTCAAATTTGTCAAATGGCTTCATTTAAAATAAACAAAACGAAAAACATGGGACTATTACACTAACATATATATTATGTCTCAGAAAAAAAAATATTAAACAAGGTCTGCAAAAAAATTGATTGTTTGACATATTTTGATATTTCTAAGAAACTCACTGTTTGTGTGTGTTTATAGCAAGCTTGCACTATGTGTATATAACAGTCACACATCACCTCTAATCTTTAAGATCAACAATGCAACATTAGTGTATTACTGTTGACAAGATGCCCTAATTCTTATAACACTTGAATTTTTCGTGTTGCTCAGTCTCTAGTTTCTATGTTGTGCTTTGTGTACTATTGTGTGTTTGTCTTTTTCTTTTTAGCCATGGCGTTGTCAGTTTATTTTCGACTTATGAGTTTGAATGTCCCTCTGGTATCTTTCGCCTCGGTTTTTAAAAAAAAAAATACTAGTTATGCATCCCTTAATAAAAGGTTTGTTTTCTTCAACATTTCAAAACTGTATATCACTGCTGAAAATAATCTTGAATAAAGTTAACAATAGTATACCGCTGTTCAATAGTCATGAATCGATTAAGCGAAAACAAATCCAGGTCACAAACCAACACCGAGGGACAATAACGGAACAACAGACAACACTGAACTGCTACAAAAACAAACGCCAACATACATAAAAAAGTCAAATCCGGATTTCAATCAAATTTAACATTCATCTTCAAAACTTTTTTATTAGATAAAATTGACCAACATGACCAGAAATTCTCGAATAAGCATTGATCACGCATGACATACTCTCTCTGAAGTATTAAACGTGCCGAGAAAAACTTATAAGTATTGCTTTGATAATTTTTAAACAGAAAAATCAGTGTTAAGACGTTCCACGATGTAACTCTAATTTATTATAATTTTTATATTTAAAGTAATCAAAACGCTCTAATGAGGGTGTGGAAAGGGGGTGTCCTTCTTTTCTGTATTCTTTAATTTTTTATGTCATTTTTCTCTATTCTTATTTTCTCCCAATTATTCTCTATTCAGCCTATACGAGAAGTATAGCACGTGTCTATAAAAACACAAGTTTGTCTAAAAGGATAGCTGTGGAAAAAGCCAGGCCTACGTTAAACTGATATCCAATCAACTGCCTTCGGAAACATAAATTACAAAAATCAAACAAGGAAACAAAGATTTGGTTGCGCATTTAATATTTGAAAAGGTTTATATATAATTAAACGTCAAATAATGGGAAATTGGTGGGTACAACAATCAGCCCCCTCTTTTTTATACTATATTT